GGGAGCTCAACCGCAGGCCCCAGCTGCAGAATTCGTATTCGGCATGCGACTCCCCGGCCACCGAACTTCCATTTCGGTACACTCCTCATACGTTTCGCGACCCATTTGGGAGTTCCGCCGAAGACGATACTCGTAACCTCGGTACTCACAACTGCAGATGGTTGGGTCCTTCACAAGGCTCAGTTTTCGCCCTCGTGTCAAAGCCACCACTGCTCCTTGCCCCTGGCCCCCTTTCGCCTCTTGCGTCCAAGCTGTTATCTTCTCAGGGTCGACGAAACCAGCCGTGAGACATTTGCAAACGTATGGGAAGTTATGCGCAAGAGACTAATAAACTTGCTTATCAAGGGTATCAACCAAATCCGCGAGACCCCTTCTGGGGCCATCAGGCTGCGGGGCTGAGGTCAGTCTCCAATGTTACAGTTCTACTTGCTGCCTCCTACTGTAAACTGTTACTGTCCGCGCAAGAGGGGGAGCAGAAAACCACCCCGGCCACAACACCCCAATCGCGTGCTCTACATTTCTGGAGGGGTCGGGGACATGCAAAAAAGACTCGAGAATCGCGCCCCCTAATCAGTAATCCCTTGAAAGTCGCGCCAGACTCACGCTCCCGAAACCAGAGTCCGTCCCAAAGGATACAAGTTCACGCTATCGAGGCCAGCATCCCTCTTACATTCCTCCAGATCCGCGCTCCCGAGGCCAGGGTCCTCCGTAAATTGCACCAGTGTCGCGCTCCCGAAACCAGAATCCCTGTTGATTCTGCAAGATTCGCGCTCCCGAGACCAGGACCCCTTGAAAACTCACCGGGCGCGCGCTCCCGGGGCAACTACCTCTTGCGAAGTACCCCAAACTCGCGCCCCCGCGGCCAGAGCCCGTCTTGAACTGCGAACCAAAGGTCGCGCTCCCCAGGCCAGAATCCCCTGCAGAGTGCATTGGACTCGCACTCCCGAAACGACAATCCTCGCAGGTACGCCAGATTCGCGCCCCCAAGGTGATCATCCCTCGCGAATTACTCCTGATGCGCGCTCCCGAGGCGACCGCCCCTTGTCAGTGATTTCACGATTACCAGCCGTACTCGCACAAGGCTCCGATATTGCGCCAAGTCTGCGCCCAGGCATCCCGACATAGCTCTGGCATGCCCTAATTCTAATCGATAGGGCCGGCGGCAGAGGGAGAAGCCCTTACGGGATGTAGGTATGGGATCATTCCAACCTTAATGTGTGCACTGATGTAGACCCGGATACGTCTCAAATGGAGCACCGATTATGCCACGAGTGTCGGCAAGCCGCGGAGATCAGAACGAGTGCCATGATCGATGGCGACTTGGCACTGATGACAGTCGGGCCGTCCGCTCGAGGCATTGAGCCACAACGACGCCGGACAACGCGGATGCCAGGCGCTCGTGCGCGACCCTCCAGAGATGCAGGACAGCATCGCCAGGATTGACCGCTTCGGGGAGCTGTGACAGAGAGGCGTCCGTACTGCCTTGGACCTGGAAGTTAGAGGGTCAAGCTTTAGGGTCTCGCCCGGGGCCGTAGGCGACCCGAGGAGAAGGAGGTGGAGGAGGGGGAGAGGGAGGAGGAAATGGAGGCGGAAGAGGGGGAGGAGGAGGAGGAGGAGGAGGAGGAGGAGGAGGAGGAGGAGGAGGAGGAGGAGGAGGAGGAGGAGGAGGAGGAGGAGGAGGAGGAGGAGGAGGAGGGAGGAGGAGAAGAAGGAGAAGGAGGAGCAGAGCGGGTCAAGCATGTCGCGGAGGAGGAGGACGAGGAGAAGAGACCCTCCAGGTCAAGCATGTCGCTCACTGCACCCGCTCTCTCTTTCTGCCAAGAACGATCCTGCGTGCGCCTACCAATCGCCCCGCAACAATAAGAAACGAGGAATGAGTGAGTATCGTTTAACCGATCCCCATCCCCAGCGGCGTGGCCTGGGTCCCACTGGCCGATTGACCACCCTGGACGGGGATATAGGTCATCCCCTTCGGGCTTTGAGGGGTGTATCCCCAACTGGGGTGGCAATTTGGTTAGGGTCTCGAAGCGGATGGGGATGGGGATGGGGATTGGTTGAACGATACCGAATGAGGAACGTAGGGGCCCTCCTGGCCACGGCGAGCCTCGGCCACGGATGGGGGGCCACCGGCCTGGATCTGCCAGCACGTCGGAGCCCCTCCCGAGCCCGAGGTGGTCCTCACGTCGGCGTCTGACCGCACTGCTGCCGGCAACCCTCCGTGTTGACCACGCCGTCGGCGCACCAAAATCGGGGAGACGTAAGACTCGGGTACGGGGGACTCGGGTAGGCTTCACGGGGCCATCGTAAAAATGGCAAGACCCAAGCTGAAATTTGACGCGAGCTCCCGCTGCAGACATCCCAGGAAAACGGGACCGTCAAAATCCAGGACGCGCTCGTTAAAAAAATCGTCGGCAAACCCGAGTTCCGGCTTACTCGAGTCTTACTCTCCCCCGCCAAAACACCACGCCGTCACGACGAACTCTTGGGAGACTTCGCGCTTCCACTGGGAGCGCCAAGCAAGAAGCGAAGGGGCGCTTCTGGCCGCGGCGAGCCTTTGCCACGCAGGGATCCCCCGACTTGGTTCTAAGGAACGCTCCGAAAACCAGGGCCACGCCTGAACGCAAACTGATCCTTGCTTCAAGCTGGGGAGAGGCCGGCAACGCCGAGGGCAGGGGTGAAGCACGAGCGGGCGGTACCTCAAAGGGCTTACACCACATCTGTTTCAGACCTGGTGCACCCGATAACAGAGAAGCTTCCGGATGCCCAGAGCATACAACACAGCTGTGCCCCCTGCACCCCGAGATCGACCACTGGGCTGCGAGAGCAGATTTGCGGGTGAGCCTTCAGCACCGTCGTCGTGCAGAATCAGCGCGGCGTACGTGCAGGCGAGCTCATCCTCGCCGCGCAGCTCTCGAAATTGCGCTCGCGCTCGGGTAGCGCTAACCCGCCCTGCCGGGTGAACTTCTCAGGGCCTCTTGCACCCGCGGATATCCCAAGATGTGTTCGGTGGACATTGGTACGCCCTGCTCCATGCGAAAACCCTGAGCAAGAGTCAGAACCAGGGCAGCAACAGAAGTGAAAAAAAGAGAACGAGCTGTTCCTGAAAAACCTGCTGCTGCAACCGATCATTCCTTGCCGTCACATGCGTCGCACGAGTGGCTACTACCAGCCATAAGGACATGTACCAGGTGATGGTTCCTGCGAGTCGTAGTCCTGAAACGCGACCGCCCTGACACACATAGGTTCCCACGCATGCTTTGCACTTACAGTTCCACAAATTGATTGCACGCTGTAGACTGTGCCCGATAAACATCACCCTAAAGAATCTACATGTCGGGTGAACCACGCATATCGCGCCGCATTGATTGAGCGCCATGTCACCATATGTTGCACAGTATGCTTCACCCCTAGAACTTACCGCATGGATCGAACCCAGTAAGTCGCACACCCGGTGTTGCGCTTGTTTAAGTTGCACCCATAAGATGCATCGCTGAAAGTGCACCCACCAATTGAATATCGTCCCCGTATGTTGAACCCCATGTGAATTGAACAATTCTTTAGCACCCGCGCTCTGGCATTATTCTCGACGAACAGAAGAGGGGACAATACTGGAAGAGGAAAAGGATCATGGGCCGACAGCGAATGCAGGGGTGCGATGGCAATGATACGCTGGCTGCCATCACACACACACACAACATTATCTCAGCTCTCCGATTTTACAACGACCCCCCTTCGATTCAGGCAACTATCATATGAAAAGCTACCGATAACATATTTGACGAAAACATACTGCATACGCTCGGAGAGCAGGATAGTGTCTTCGCGAGGGTGCTGCGAGGATGAACGGGGAACGCAGCTTAAAGCCTTTCATGGTGGATCTTCAGACCATCGTACCTTGCCCCTTGCTGCCGGCACGACGTTGGGGATGAGGCTGTGCGTTTCCGAAAAGATTACATGCGCAGACTTCCGAAAGGGTAGGTAGGCGGGGCGATGTCGATAGAGCGTAGTGAAACAGCACGGCCTTCCAACACAGTCTCAACCATCGCTTCATTGGGCATCTGGCGACAAAGGCGGTCCTGCTGCTCCTTGGACAGGTCCCCCACGGGGCAGCTCGCCATCGGTGCCGGGAGCTGCGGTTACCCCAACAGACGATGACACACAATGAACCGAGCCGGCTGTGATTTAGACAATCCCAGAAACAATGGTGGAAATACTGTCGAAGCCAAGCTACACCAATAGTGGGAACTTGCGTGCCCACACACCGACACTCGTAATCGCGGAATTGGATCGTCCATTGAACCTGATACCGGGTTTTTGCCCCTATGGTCCTCGATCCCCCCTGTGGTCCCCCCACATCGGCACTCTGCGTTTTCCTCATCATTTCCCTCCTCCTCATCCTCCTCCTCCCTCTTCTCCTGCTCCTCCTCCTCCTCCTCCTCCTCCTCCTCCTCCTCCTCCTCATCATCATCATCATCATCATCATCATCATCATCATCATCATCATCATCATCATGCTCCCCCTCCCCCATCCTCATCTGTTTCGCCCCCTCCCCCGCCTCTCCCCCCCCACCCCCTTTGGAGAAAGAGGAGGGGGAGGAGGAGAACGACGAGGAAGAGGAGGAGGAGGAGGAGGAGGAAGAGGAGGAAGAGGAAGACGACCGGGCAAAGGCGCAACTACCGCTTTTCTTCGTGTGATATTGGGTGGCCCAGCGGAGTAAAGACTAACGCCGATGCAGAGTAGGTCTCGCGGTTCCCCAGGGGGTGCCAGCTGCGCGCAAATCGCCCCTTGTCGTGAGCTCCTGGGAGGTGCAGCGGAGCGGGGACATACGCCCACCCAGACTAGACTCCTCGGCTCTTTGGGGGACTGCCACATTCGCGGGGTCATGGGAGGTCCACCTGAGTAGAGACATACACACATCAAGACTGGACCTCAACGCTCCTTGGGGCGCTGCCACGTGCGCGTTTGTCGCCACGTTCGCTGGCTCCCTAGGAGGTTGGCCGACGTCGACGTCGCTCATGCTTCCAAGGGTTATGGTGCTTGCGATGAGAGGTTCCTGCTTGCTTGTGTTTCGATGGGATCGCACATCTGCCCACGTGTTCTCGCGGCAGATCCTAAAATCGTCTGATAAAATCAGACTTTCAAAAGTCTACCCATTTTTTGTTGGGCGCGATATCCATCTGGCGGACGCACTCATAGAGGAGCGAGCTCATCGAAACACAAGCTCGCGCGTGCCCGTCGGTCGCCATGTCTTCCGAACAAATGGCTCAACAATTACACGTTCGCTCACATTTCAATGAGGAACGACGACAACGACGTCGACGACGGCCGCGACGTCGCATAACTTTGAACAAGTGCCGCGCCTCCGCTTTCCAATGAGCTCCGCGCCTCGGCCCATGGCAAGGCCGACGCGCAAGCGCGGGCCCATCAGAACACAGTCATCATGCCAAATAGGATGGAACAGCTCACGCTAGCGCCGCGCCCCTGCGCCCCGATGAGCTCGCGCACACGCGTCACCCCGCAGCAAGGGCGACGCGCGAGCCCGAGCCCATCGGAATTCAGCTATCATGCGAAATAGCATGGAACAGTTCACACTAGCGCCGCGCCTCGGCGCCCCGATGAGCTCGCACACACGCGTCAGCCCGCGGGAAGGGCGACGCAAGCGCGAGCCCATCGGAACTTAGCGATCACGCCAAGTAGGATAGAACAGCTCACACTAGCGCCTCGCCTCTGCGACAAAATGGCCTCGCGCTAACGCGACGGCCCGCGGCAAGCAAGCGCGAGCACATCGGAACTCATCTATCATGCCAATTAGGATGGAACAGCTCACACTAGCGCCTCGCCTCTGCGCCACGATGGCCTCACGCAAACGCGACGGCCCGCGCCAAGGCCGACGCACAAGCGCGAGCCCATCGGAACTCAGCTATCATGCGAAACAGGATGGGCCACTTCACACTAGCGCCTCTGCGCCCTGATGGGCCCGCGATCGCGCGTCGGCCCGCGGGAAGGCCGACGCGCAAACGCGAGCCAATAGGAATCCTTTTATCATGCGATATTCGATGAATCAGTTCCCGCTAGCGCCGCGTTTCTGCGATCAAATGGGCTCGCGATCACGCGTCGGGCCGCGGCAAGGCCGATGCACGAGCACGAGTCCACGCAATCTGGGACGGACCTGTTCACACTAGCGCCGCGCCTCTGCGCTACGAAGGGCTCGCGATCACGCGTCGGCCCGTGGCACGGCCGACGCACGAGCGCGAGCCCATCGGGACACGGCTATCATGCGATATGGGGCAGATCAGATCACAATAGTGCAGCGCCTCTGTGTCCCGATAGGTTCCAGTGTTTAAAAACCGACGTGTCTACAAGGCTAAGAACCTACGGTTTGAAACTTGAACTTGTTCAGGGTCGTCGGTTCTTAAACATCTAGTAGGCCAACGCACAGTTAGAAACGACGCCACACGTTTGGAACCGACGGCTCGAAACTGGGATGTGCTTAGAACCGTCGGTTCCAAACATATGGTGGGTCAGAATAGGTAGGATCAACTTGAGACGTTGAAAGCCGACGGTTCTGATTTGGGATGTGTTGAAAGAGGGCGGTTCCTGAACATATGGTGGATCACGGGATGGTGAGAACCGAAACCAGATGTTTACAACCGACGGTGCTACACTTGAATGTACTTAAACCGAGGGTTCCTAAACATATGGTGGGTGACGGCTTGGTTTAAAGCCGATGCCAGATGTTGAACCACCAGAGCCGACACCATGTGTTAAGAAGCGTCGGTTCATGAAAATCAGGTGACCGTTCTGACCAGGCAGTGACCTCACAAGTTAGGAATCGGAAGTTCTACATAATTCCTAATGTTTGAAGCGTGGTTATGGACATTTGGCGTCGGTTCAAAGCATGTGGTGACACAGGAACCGACGGTGCGAAATTTGCCGCGACCCAGCACATGTTTAAGAGTGCAAGGTCCCAACCGTGCCGTGACCCCGCATAGGTTTAGGAACCGGCGGTCCGAACCATGTACACGCCCACCCGATGTTGACGAACCGACGGTCACAACCATGTCGTGACCCACCCAATGTTCAGGAACCGACGGTCCTAAGCATGCCGTGGCCAACCATTTGCTTAGGAAATGCCGCTCCAGACCATGCCGTGGCCCACCACATGTTGAGGAACCTACGGTCCTAACCGCGACGAGACCCAATAAATTCTAAGGAACCAATGGTCCAATACATGACGTGACCCACCAAAATCCTGGGTACCGACGCCACCAAATTTCTGGAAACTGACGGTCTGACTCATACCATGACCCACGGAACTCTTCTCAATCGACAACACCAATCATGTCGTGACGCACCAAATTTTTAGGAACCCGCTGCCCCGCCAAAATGCTTAAGAAAGGACGGTCCTAACTATTCCGTTGCCCTCCATATGTTTAGGAATCGACGTCCCTAACCATGCCGTGACCCACCAAACTTTGAGGAACCGGCGGTCCTGACCACGCCGGGACACGCGTCCGTCGCGGGGAGGAAGGGAGACAGCCTGGCGCAGACCTCAAGATTCCTTGTGGGCTTGTTTCGCATTATTGTACGAGTTGCCCCACGAGGTGACGTAGTTCTTGCCCATGGGTACCATCGAAGACTCTCCTGGAAACTACGCCATCGGACGCCACATGTAGGCAAGGCGTTTTGCCTTTGGACGCGCGCACAAGTCTGAAAATTAAGTCACTCATTGTTACGGAACGATTCGCTCCCGCACCCTGGCGCCCCATCAAACTGCTGCAACATCTGCCGACCTGAACCGCCGACCAGCTGGAAAGTTTGGCTCTTGGCCCACCGAGGGCCTGGCCGCCCAACCGGAGAATGCGACCTGTGACTGGTTACCCTATCCACTAAGTGGGAGGACGACCTAGGGCGCCAGTCGACGACTCAGGCGCACCGAAGCCTATCCTGCCAAGACCATGGGCGCAGGTCAACGACCCAAACACACCCAGAACACCGTGGACCCCGCGGTTGTTTCTCGAATCCGTTTGACCAAGACCAACTTACCACGCCCAATGGTCCTGGGGCACCCTGTACCACTGTCGGTCGCGCCGGTACAAACGAGGGCCCCGCCCAGGCGCATCCTCCTCAGGCTTCAAGGATCCTCCATCTCATCCAGCTGTTCGCCATCTATACATCCTTCACGTTGAAATGGTTCCATGGATTATGACTCGTGTTTTGGCGGAGGCCCACGGTAGTCCTCCGCTGGGCCAGAACGCGCCGACAATGATCGCCTTGGGGGAACATCATTCAGATCGTGCATGTCCTCAAAGGTGCCCCAAGCTGGCTCCCGTCCGTCGCACTTCTGGTAAAAGGTTTACCATCCGACGAACATGCTGTAGTTTCATACACTCGTAGATGGCCTTCGGGCAAACTCGCCACACGGGATCGCCACGCTCAAACTCTGCGTGGAACACTGGTCCATCGCCAGCCACGTCTCCGTTCCGGCGCGGCCCTGGCGCGGCACTCTCGACGTGCAACGCGCATGCAGCGGGCAGAAGCTTCCGCGGCAGAGGCGGGCATTTCCCGCGCATAGCGTCGCAGGGGTTCTTCAGGACATCAGCTGCTCACAACTTCGCAAGTCCATCCGCGCAACATGCTCTTCGTCTCTTGGTGTCCGACATTTAAACTCAACTCCCTCTCACTCCGAAAAACCGCTCGCGCTAGTTACCCAGCTGCTAGAATGGCAAGAGCTGCGGCATTGCCAAACAGTGAGAGAACATTACCAATAGGTATGTCCCAGTCCTAAGAGAACTCGACGCCCTCCGTAACCCGCGACGCCCATGCGGCGGCTCCGAGTTCGGTTTCGGTCGCGCTCACTGCGATGACCGTCTGGCGCGAAGAACGCCACAGGAGCGGGGCACCAGACCAAGACGTAAACATCCCAATTTGCGCCTTCACGTTGGGGCCCGAGTGGCCAGCGCCCGACCAGGCCACCAAAGAGCTCCCGTCGACGCTCGAATGATAGCCTCGCCCTTAGTGCCCATGAGATATCGGCGAACCCTCTGAGCCAGCTAATCAAGCCACCCCGCGTTCTTCGCGATGGCACTCGCGAGAAAGCTGACGCAGAATGCCACGTCGGAACGGTTTCTCGCGGGAAGCCAGTTTATCTCCCCAGCAAAACCTTGAAGGGCCTGGAGAGGTTCAAGATCAGGAAGGTAGTCTCCAGGAGCATAAACTTGTGCTGGCGCGAAGGGGCTCGCGTCTGCCACGCGCACTTCTCGAGCGGGCTATCAATGAATTTCCATTGCCCTACTGCGGCTACTGCAGAGCCACGGCGAAGCTTTAACCCAAAAAGACCCACGGGGCCTGTCGCCACAAAACGACTCCGCCATTAATCTTCCACATCTGGAAACGGCTGAGAAACTCGCCCCGCGCGCCAACTTCAGGGCTGAGAACGAAGAAGTCGTCAACGTAAACCACCCCCCGCGATCGCCTCGGCACTCGGACCCTTCGACCAATCCAAAGTCGCCGTCGCAGCTCCGTGAGATTTCACCCTCTGCCACCCTGGTGCGCCCATATGCCCGGCGCCGGCGGCTGCGTGGAAATTGGGAAGGCGATGATCTGGCCCTGGCGGTGACTGTTGGATTTGAATGTCCACAACCTCAAAGCCGCAATGCAGGTTGGCTCAGAGGTGTCTACCAGCTACACTCGGCCTGGTTGGCTGAATCACCGCGTAGGGGGCGACGTTCGTCCCACTCGCGCTGGGCACCCGTAGCCTGACCTCCAAGCTACTCCTCAGACCTGGCCTAAGGTCGGCAGTGGTCCTGGGAACGCCTGCTAACGCGCGCGCTCCGCATGCCGTCAGATTCCCGGTGGAAATCCTGAAGCCCCGCGCGTCGCGCCGCCCTGTCAAGATTGAACCCAGACCCACTGGCAAGGCGTTCGAGCAACAAGTCCCGCACGTCAGCCACCGCCCCTTCACGGGGCGTGAGCCACTCAGGGAAACCGAAGAGCTGAGCCCCATCACCTCCCGAATCATGCAAAGGCTCTGGAAACGCCAGAGGCCGTGCACAAAAATGCAGACCTGGAAAAAAAGATATTACTCTTGTGCATGTGCATCGCCGCACGCAGGCTCGCGCTCACCAGTCAACAGATGAACCCCCGCTCCCATGGTCAACTGCTGGTCGCGGTCCAAGCAAGTCAGCGCGCAGTCGAGCTGGTCCAGGCAGTTCAAGACAAGCTGGAGAACAGCGACTGTCGAGGTGGGAAAGGTGGGCTGGGTCGCTGGAGGCGCTGACCAAGGGCTCGGGCTGTCTCGAAAGATTTCATTAAACATATCCGGCAGAGGCTCTCTTGCAAGCTCGCTTGGGCTGCCGAGTCGCCAGCGTGCTCCTCGCCCTGCTCCTCCGCGGAGTTGAGGGGCACGTCCGCAGAAGATGGCAAGTCCTGATGGCAAGTCCTTCCGGTCGCTGGGTTGATTCGTCGATGATGCTGCTCGTTTGCTGTGGTAGGAGCTGTTCAGAAAGCCCACGCACTTCTCGGGTCGGAAATGTTGGGCGCACCCTCTGTTCTCGGCGCGGCATACAAAACAGCGCCCCTCGCTTCGGCTGAACGCCGCCGTCAACGTCAGCGGCGCTTTTGAGAACGCCCCCGCGGACGAGCTCCGCAGCGGTGGTCGCAGCGGGGCGTCTGCTATCGCTCTCGAAGGTTCTGGCACGCCGCTTGGGGCCGCAGCGCGTGCCGCGCTGCCACTGATCCCCATGCCACGCCCACAGCCAAGGTAAGAACTGTCGCGGTTGATAGACCCGGCGCAGCCACAACCGAAGCCCAGACACCCAAATGCAGTCGCCACACGATTTACACACACACACACTCAGCTGCTCTTCGTGAGTATGCCTACACTCCTCCCGCCCCCTGGCGTCCTCACGGTGGTCCAATTCAGCATTCACTCGAACCAAACATAAGCAAAGTTGAAGGAACGGTGAATAATCTAAACCGATGCATCCAGGGTGTCCATAGCGCCCGCACTGTACAACTGGCCGACAAGGGTCGTGCTCCAGTGGTCGATGCGCCTTGCACGGCCGTGCTGG